AGTTCATTATCATTCCGCGAGGGGCGCCATCGAATGTCGTACAAAAAGTCGTATGAGGGTTGACCTATCATGTGAGTGCGAAAATGGTAGTTCGTGACTGAAGGGACGACGATGACGATATGAGAACAACGATTCTGAGAGTGCCGAAAACTTTATCGTTCCATATCTTTACGTACATAGCAGCAATCAGAGTCGGATAAATTTTAAAAAATTCCTGATTTTTTACTGAATTTTTTGGGTCCATCGAAAGTTTATTTCTTTATCTGTAGCAAAGAAGAAATTATATTTTCATTTCCCCCACTCCTGAAATCCTAATCCTTACTGTATATAACTCTGTAGCGTCTCGCTCGAACTCAACGCGCAGGGCGCGTTTCTCGCATCGCTCCACGCTAGGAGTTTCTCGTTCAAAAATGTATTTGGCTCGAAACTCTACCGAGTTTCTTGATTAATGATCGTACGGGTCCCTTCCAACCAATCATGACCCAAAATTACACACTCCAATAACCGAGGCACCACTAAGAATGTACCGACCATATTGCACCTTCCCACGGAAAATTCTAAATAAATCTGTTTACGGACTGCCGTCGCCCTTCGTCCTATAACGGGAACAACATACAAACTATTTACGGGCAATTCAAATACCTTGCGCTTTTCAATAATCTCGTCATAAAATGCCGCAGATACACAAGTAATTTGGCTTTCTGTATCTAATAAAGCCGGTCACAGCTATACTCGCGACTTAAAAAAATGTATTAAGGGCGCTCACCACTCTAGCGATTTTGCAGGGCCTCACGGGGACAACGATTCCGAACGTATTTCTAAACCGATCGAGCTTAACGAGTGCTCATATCGAAGATGAAATGTCGACCTGTGTTTATATGGGAGCGATTTTCGATAAATGGCCATTTTCATATAAAAAAGTGCAAAGACATAATTTCCAGGCCCTTTTAACTAGGAAAGAGGTGTTTGATCGAAAATCGCTTCCATATAAACACACGTCAACATTTTATCTTTAAAACGAGCACTTGTTGAGCTCAATCGGTTGAGAAATACGCTCAAAATCGTTGTCCCCGTGGAGCACCTTTTTCATGATTTTCGAGTTTCTTGCGAGGAATTTGGGCATTTCTTAGCAACCGTTGCCGACTTTAGGTGGAGCGTCCAACTGGCGTATGCGTGCGGTCGGTGGTCACACGCGTTTCGGCGCCTAGTCCAGAGGCGACTAGCCGTTGTGTGAGTCCTATACGTGCAAAATACGTACGCATTTTTCACCCGTTGCTAAACACCGCCCATTATGCGTCGCGTCTCCCTCATCCGAGCGAGAAAGTACGTTTTGGTTATCTCCCACCGAATTCGATGCTAATGCTATCTAGCGGTGGAAGTCATCGTCCCCACTTTGGTGGTGAACGCCGTTAACATAGACTAGAACCAATGTGGCATATTTTCGATGTTTTATACTTTTTGAAGGCTTAAAATGAAAAATTAAGAGTTTCAGGACCGAGTCTGGACAATTTAGAACAATATAAACGTATAATTTTACAAAGTCAGGTGGGAAACTATTGAAAATATTTTTATAAACGATTTCTGAAGAATGCAGGCTTGTTTCGCGAATAACATGTCGTCTGTAATTGCTCTTAGGGTAAAAAATTAGTTGCCGATATCTGTGCCAGGTGGCACCGTACAAAAAGTACTGTCTTGGGGTCCAATTTGTCGGTAAGATGGTATCCCAAGTATGTGTGGAGCCATCTTACAGTCACGCATCGGTACTGAGTGGCGGTTCCATAGCCGCTCACAACAAATGATCTTAATTTATTTATGAAAATAAATTAAGTTTAAATAAGCGTGCGCGTGTAAATAGTCGTGAAAAAGTGACAACACACAGGGGAAGACTACAAGAGTACTACTCGCGAGTAACAGCCCACCCGAGGAACATAACCTAACTTTCGGGAAGTTCGGAGTTCATCAGGTAGGAAATATGAATATTGATTATTATCTGTATTTATTCTAGGAACGAAATATAGAAACGTTTTTCATAAGTAACAGAACTATTTTAATTAATTTAATCACAATGTCTGTTACAGGTTATGTAGGAAAACATCATGGAATTTCAGCGAAGGTGTCTCCGCTCATCCAGATATCACCATTCCTTGGGGATAAACGTACAGATCGTAGGTATTTACATATGTTCAATATATTTCTTTTCAACACAATTAGGTAGAATATTGATTTTTCATGACATTTGCAGACGTGGACAAAATGTTTCAAAGACCCAAAGTGAATACCCAGCGGAAATCTTTAGAAGAAACTTGAATACTCACCAAAGTATCCATGGTAAGTACCTACCAAACACACTATGTTACAGTTACGTGTTACATGTTTCGTATTATAATATTAACGTAACATGTTACTGATATGTTACGTATACGCTACATTATTTAATTTTATAATAGTGTTATATAGTTGCGTAGGAAATAGTAATACAAATCTTATATATATATCCTACTTGGAGAGTAATGACGATGTGATCTCTATCCCGATGTCAACGAGAGGTACCCAATTAAATGTAATTAAAATATGTGTNGTGTCGTTTATACAAAAAATTGGAAAAAAATCGAGGTTTTGAGGAAACCCGTTCCCATCTTCGTAGGATATCGAGTTCAGTGTTGCCAACGCATGAAGCAATTGTTACGATATCGTATTTGGTGAGTAATGACGATGTGATCTCTATCCCGATGTCAACGAGAGGTACCCAATTAAATGTAATTAAAATATGTGTGACGATAGCATGAACCGATGGGCAATTTGATTTAGGAAAGTGCCTCGGTGCGAAGAGAAGCAGTGAGGATCACAATTTCCTTATCGATACCAAGTATCATGTAAATTGTTCCAATTAATATTATAACAAAATTCAATTTGATATTGAATGTCATTTAGCGAGCACTGAAATAATGATCACAAATGCTTCAATTATTTATTGGAAGCAAATCAAATAAAATGTCAAATTTACTTCCTAATTTACATTCCTATATTTATTTTTCTCTTTTTTATCTGGATAAAGGAAGTAGAAAACTAGATTTTATTAAAGGAATAATATCGAGAAAAATTATAATTGTTTTAAAACCTGAATTTTTATCTTATGTGAGACAAATCTTGCTCTGACATAACATATTGAATTTACGTTTTTAGTGGCATTATAGTTCTATCGTTGAGATTTCATGTCTTTTGTTCATTCAAGTTGAATTTAATATTGAAAATGTGAAAAGTCACTCATCGAGAACATGTATCAACTAAGTTTTTAAATGTCAATATTACATTATACTTGAATATAAAGTTCATTTGAATATTTATTGACACAGTAGGAAATTAATACATTCGATTCAATATAAAATTGTGATCATACAATTAATTTCATCAATTTACACAATACATGGTATCGATTAGAAAAATTTGATTCTTACGACTTCTCTCCATGGTGATGTACTTTCCTAAATAAATTTGTCCATTCGCTATGGGATATCATTAAACATATTTTATCAATTCCATTGTTAAAGTTAATTTGGTACCTATCGTTGACATCAGAATGAATACATCATCGTTACTTACTTTCCAATTTCCGAATTAACTTGGGATTAAGTTCTTTCGAGTCCTCAAAACTTTCGATTTCATCCTGTAATGTCATTAAAAAAATTAGTAACATTGTAATTAAATGTATGTAAGTGCGGTTTGCCAAATTTATTCTCAAGAAATGATATTATCCTTCGAACTCAAATGACAGTTTTGTTGGAATTGTATTATACAATGTATTCTAATGTATACTGTAAAAACATCATAATTAAATTGTTTTATATTCCAACGTAAAACAATTGTTTTATATTTGATATCATTTTGAGATTGAAATTATGAAAATATGCTGAACGATGTGATGCATCGATGGGCAAATGTATTTATTAACTAATTACAGAAACATTTTTCTTTGGTAAGAGTTATTTTTATTTATTTATTTATGAAATTCAATTATTTATCTTAAATAAAAAATGTAACTGCATTACCAAAGAAAAATGTTTCTTTAATCGAGTACAAAACAATTTGCTTCGAACATTTAATTTCTAACTAATTATAAACAAATTCAGAACGCTAACAATCGTATAGATTAGCTGCCGAATTCGTTTATATTTACTATTATCTCTCACTACATGTCACGGTTTTTGATCAACGTAGCTCATGTTCATGAATCGTTCACATCCAGGGTTTATTAAGTAATATTAAAATTGTGTACATGAGATCTATTTCTAACACGCGTTTCGGCGCCTAGTCCAGAGGCGACTAGCCGTTGTGTGAGTCCTATACGTGCAAAATACGTACGCATTTTTCACCCGTTGCTAAACAC